CAGGGTCGCTGTGAGTCAGAACCGACTCCACGGCACACAACCAGCCATGCTTATTTGTAGCTGTCTCTAAAAATATGGTGATTCTTTCAATTGTTGGTGACTAGTTACTTGGTTAAAATTTTATGCTGGCAAAGTCAGTTTGGTCTGAATTTTGCCTGTGCCAGTTTTATTTTTTGGAGCTCTGATAGTATAGCGGATTACGAGCTGAGTTGCTAAATATAAATTCAGCATTTCGACGCTAACCAGCTGCTTCAAGAGAGAAAGATGAGGCTTTCTGCTTCCGTAAAGATTTACAGCCTTGGAAACCCTATACAGGGATCGCTATGAGTTGGAACCGACTCCACCACCATCACCAGTTTTACTTTTATGGTCAGTGACTGGTTGGCTATCATAAAAATATATACCCTAAGTCATATGAAGTCAAATGACATTTGGCATTTAAAGTGCTTTTACAGGACACATAAAAAATCCATAGACTTACATATCTGTTGAAAGATGTAGACTGATGTAAACTGATGGAGTGAAAGACAGCCAGGTACTAAATATACCCTCTTGGTAATATCAGGAACATTAACCTTACTTTCTACTCGAGTCTTTTGCATTAGAACACAAGGTGGTAACTTTTGTGATCTCTTAATAACCGATCAGAAGTGTGTTTCAAGAAAAGACTCTTAGAAAACTAGTAATTGTGGTTTGTAAAATATTAGGATCTTATACTTTTTGTTTGTTTGTTTGTTTGTTTGTAGCGATACAAACTTGGAGTCCGACTATATTATCGAGTAATGGAATCCATGCTTAAATCAGTAAGTTAAAAACATAACAGAAAAATTCAGTGCTGGCAAAAAAAAATATATGATTTCAGTTAAAGTTTTTATTATTTTTTTTCTATTGTAGGAAGAAGAACGATTATCCATTCAAAACTTCAGGTACATTGTTTAGTTTTAGTTAAAAAGAAAAAAATTTTCCTTTTTACAAAAATAAATGGTTTGAAATAATTTTTTTCCCCTTTAGCAAACTCCTGAATGACAACATCTTTCATAAGTCTTTGCTGGCGTGCGCTCTTGAGGTTGTAATGGCTACATATAGCAGTAAGTTAAATTTCAGTAAATTAACATTTTAGTTAAATTTAAACTAGAGAGGCTTCTTAATGCATAGTGACTTCTGGGGGTCATGGTTTAGAACAAAAACCATGTATATTATGTTAGTACATACTGAAGAATGTAATTGATCATAAGGCTTATTATCTGAATTATTTCAGATCATTTTGGAGATGTATGTTTCTAGACTCCTGTTTTGGGCATACTGAATCCAGGGAAGCTACCTATTAAGACCCCTCCAATGCCTGTGAGATTGTAAAATTCCAAAAGTGTATTAAAGAGCAGCCTCTACTGACCCGGAAGCTCTGCTGTAGACTCTATGGTTATGAGACCAAAGCTTGGAGTTAGACTCCACCAGATACTCAGAACAAAGTTCAATGAGTGGATTGGACTTTTTTAAACTATAATTTTAATATATTATTTTTACAAAAACAAAATAATTTCCTAAGGATATAATAGACGATTAAAATTTAACCAATTATGGAGAACTCTGAATCCTCATTATAACATGTACATTTTAAAAGAGATACAATTTTCTAACTAATCAAACGAGTAAAATCTTAGATAATGATTGCTCCACCCAGAGATTAGTGAGTGAGTTAAAATGGATATGCTGTGCCCTGCTGATGAAATATATTAATCTTGCTAGGAACCATGGTGTAGGTTTTAGGGTATTAAAACCTCTTAAAAGTTTGATGAGAGTTATGAGGTCTCTTTAGGAAAAAAAACTGCACATACACTCAACATTAGTGAGCCTATTTCCTATGAGTCAGTGGATTCCAAAATAAAAAAATTCTGCTCTAAATGAAAATTTTTTTAGCCTTCTACTGTGTTTTAAGTCTTTGTTTAACACACTCCTCCAACCTAAAAATATGTAGCTCAAGGCTTAACATTTCATACCTAAGTTACATTTCTTCTTTCATTTTTAGGAAGTACATCTCAGAATCTTGATTCTGGAACAGATTTGTCCTTCCCATGGATTCTGAATGTACTTAATTTAAAAGCCTTTGATTTTTACAAAGTGATTGAAAGTTTTATCAAAGCAGAAGCCAACTTGACAAGAGAAATGATAAAACATTTAGAAAGATGTGAACATCGAATCATGGAATCCCTTGCATGGCTCTCAGTAAGTAACTAGCTAAAATAATTAACAGATATTTATAAATATGCATATGGCTAAAAAATTACTCGGATATTTGTTGAAACCTACCTTAAAAACAAATATGCACTGTAATAAATAATGTGATTTAGTAGATAGCCCAGGGATCTAGTAGAATATTAGAATGCAGTTGTATTTGAGTTCCCCAGGTCATCTGATATCATGATTTATTTAGAATTAGCTTTTCTTAAAACGTGCTACCCTAAAAAAAAAAAAATCAGAATTCTTTAAAATATTTGAGTAATTTATTTAAAATAGAGGTACCTTGTTTGAAAATATTTCTAAAAAATGATGAACAATTTTGAGATTATTTTATTTAGTGGATTAGAAAATATATTCTTTATTCATTTTAGTGAGATTTATTTTGTCCCATTGGTACAAATAGTCTAGAAAACTATACTGTTGTTTGATTATAACTATTGTTTAAAGCATTTATTTGGAGCTATAGACAATACTTACAATCAACATCATATTCTGTAGGTATTCTACTTATAATCTATTAATAAACTTTTATTCTAATAAAGGTGGTATTTCCTATGACATAGCAAATTATTACTTATTTCAGGTTTCTTCTATTCAGCTCTTTAAATCTGTGCGGTTAATGTAATACTTTGTAAATCATCACATTTGTAGATTAATAGAAAAATTTATTTTGAGACTATGTTGCATACAAAGCATATGTCTTCTAATTTATACCTATATATATATATAAACGATAAAAAGTAAATAAAGCCTTTGTCATATTGAGCCCAATTCTATTTATATAGCCTTTGTTTTAAGTTTGAAATGGTTCTTAAAACATAATGGCAAAGAAATAACATCCTTTTCACTGCTTTTTAATACTGTTATGTCACATAGACCCCAGTAGGTTGAGGAAAGAAGCAGGGAAAGTGTGTTACATTGCTATAACTAAATTTGGAAAATCTTTTAAGTCAGAAATGACTCGATGACAGTGGGTCCCACTTTATAAGAAAAATAAATGGCTAGGGTAAAACTGAGAAATTAAAGGAAAGAGGCAAAAATAACTGTAGAGAGTACTTTCCCGAGGCTGCTGTACCCCTCCAACCCAAAATGTGGAAATGACATTACCGTAAGATGTGAAAGTGTGACCATCCTCATTTCTCTTAGAGAATTAATTGGTTTTCTATCAGAAAACATTAATTAACCCTGGATTTACTACATTTGGTATAGATGTTGTAAGAATTAAAAAAAGACAAGGGCTCTGAAAATTTAGTAAAAACTTACTATGTGTAACCTGCTTGTACTCAAACTCAGTTACTGGCATTCTAGGATTCTAAACAATATTTCTTTATTTTTGAGGAAAAATGACACACATCTGTCAAAGGTAAACATTTATTTATGTTAAGATGGCAGTTAAAAGCTCTGAATTTAAATTCTAATTGTAGTATCTCCGGAGAACTTTAATGTTTGTATTTTTTAAAAATAGCCATATGTTGCTTTTTTAATCATAAAAGGAAAGAGAGTGACAGCCGGTAACTGAAGATCAGGGGGCAGTGTTGATCTAGGGAAACATCAAGTGGGGTGTTACTCCCCTCCACCCAGTAATATAATGAAAGAAAGAACATCATTATATTTTTTAATATTGAGTAGGGAAAGGATTTACAAGCATGTTTGCCTGTAAGTCTCAACAACTACTAAATTAGAACATAGTAAATTTAAGAAGGAATAAGCAAGAAATTATGAATTGGTTTATGTTCTGTGTATATTTTCAACAACAAAAATAGAAAAAATTATTCAAAAAATAAAAATAAGGAATGAGCACACTTTCATTTGTTTTGCTTCTAGAGTGTTCAGCAGGCAATGTATGAATATAAAATGCAGAAACAATCTATTGACAAACCTAATGAAATCTCGTATTCTGGCATTTGAGAGACTAGCAATGATTTGCAGGAGCCCTGGTGGCTCAGTGATTAAGTACTTGGCTATTAAATAAAAGGTCAGTGGATTGAAGCCACCAGTCAGCGGGAGAAAGATGTGGCAGTCTGCTTCTATAAAGTTTACAGCCTGGGAAACCCTCTAGGGTCACTAGAATTGGAATAGATTTAATAGCATCAGTAATAACAGCAGAGGTGATTTCATAGTCACTGGGTAGCGCAGATGATTAAGGGTTTGGCTGATAATGAAAGATTGGTGTTTTGAACCCATCCTGACATTCTGCCTCAGAAAGGTCACAGCCCTGAAGGCCATCTATGGAACACATCTCCATGAGATGGAATCAACTTGACTACAGCTAGTCAAGAGGTAATTTAGAATGAACCCTTCTTAAAGGCTAGATTAGATGACCTCTAGATGTTTGGGGGAATTCTGGTATGTCATTTTAGGTTTAGCACTGGACAATAAGGTCAGTTTGAACCGTAAGGTCAGCAGTTCAAATTTACCAACCGCTCCTCAGAAACACTATGCAGGCTTGTTATGAGTTGGAAGTGACTTAATAAGAAAGATGTTTGGGAGTACTAAATGGATTAAGCAGTTTATAATGCCAGCAGATGAGGAAATGACATTTGGATATCTTTCAGTATTTTCAAAATTTTATCAAATTTTTTTCACTAGAATCTATGTAAATCAAGGGACATTAGGTGTTTTATTCTTAGATAGACTTGCTTTCCTGAACAATTATGGAGTCTTCCTATTGATCTTTCCGTATCTCTAGCCACCTTAACACCATTCTTCTCACAGTAGCCAGAGAGATCTTTCTGGAGCAAAAATCTCATGTCACTTTCTCAGGTTAAAGCCATTTTCTGGGAGACATATGTATCTGGTAAGGATGGAGGAAGACACTACCACATGACTCACTTTCAAAAACAAACAATAAGACTTGTACAGAACATAAAAAGCAACTGCCTGCAGTCACTGGACAAAGAGGAGCAGACAGACTTTGCCATTCCCATCAAGTCAGTTTTGACTTACAGCAGGCCTTACAGAATAGAAATGAACTGCCCATAGGGTTTCAAGGCTGTCATCTTTATGGGAGCAGAGTGTTAGGTTTTTCCTGGGTAGTGGCTGGTGGGTTCTAGCTGCCAACCAAAAAGTCAGCAGCCAATCAGTTAACTATTTGCACTCCCTCCTCCTACCCCACTGCCCAGGCTGACAAACAAACAAACAAACACAACTGTTGAGTAGATTTGGATTCATAATGACCCTATAATATACAGAGTAGGATTGATCTGTAGGAATCTTTCATGGAGGGTGGATTTGAACCACCAACCTTTTGGGTTAGTCACTGAGCTGCTTAAAAACTTTGCTGTCAGGTTCTCAAGCTCTAGTTGAGAGGAAGAGGGGAGCTGCAAGTTCCTCATATCTCAGTTATTGGCTCACCTCCCACATATTGCAAGGTTTTCACTCTGGGTAGTAGGAATGACAATTCTGGCCCTGTCAGCTCCTGCAGTGGTTCTACTTCTTTCAGTGATTCTTTGCCAACTTTGGATCGTTACCTCAGCTGAAGACTTGAGAGGAGCCCACTGTATACCTCCGATGCTCTGCTCGCTCATTGATGTGTAGCTCTCTACTCTGGTATTCTGTTCCGATCATTGTACCTTCACAGTGGCTGGAGGGTTCTGCATAGTACTTAGTGCTTGATAAAGGATTTGTTAATATGTATGGTGTACCCTGGAGTCAGTTCTGACTCACAGTGCTCCTGTAGAGGGTCCAAGGCTCCAAATCATTATAGGAGCAGAAAGCCTCATCTTTCTCCTGTGGAGCATCTGGTAGATTCGAACTACTGACCTTGTGGTTAACCCAACTCATAAACCCCTATGCTGCCAGGGCTGTTTTATAAATATGTATACTTAGAGAATATTTAGAGTATTGTTTATATTTTTCTGTATTTCCTTTTGAGTAGTGCTGTTTTGGAGGGGTACTTACTAATGCATAGTACAGAAGTATGAAGATAAGTAAAAGGTATTGCTACAAAATTAAATAAAAATATCAAAATCTGAAGCTTGACATATCCTCCATCTTGGTCTGTAAACTTCTGAAAATGATGTTTCCATCTCTCTAACTCTTCCTCAAAGAACTCTGCTTTTCTATTTACATGACGTCAAAATGACAGTTTTGGACTCCTTGAGGGACTTAAAGCATGTTATTTTTAAATGTTATTAGCTTTTGGGAGACAAAAAAAAATCGAAACAGGCAAGTTCAGGCCTGGAGGGTGGACACACAGTAAGGTTTTCCAATGAAATTCTCATGGGACAGGCCTTGCTACTCTAAAAGAATGAACAGGTGCGGTGGTGATGTGATAGAAAGAAATTCCCCAGTTCAAATTTCCTGACCTTTTCTCACAAGTGCAGTTTTCCATTTTCTTCACATTTCTTCCTAATAAGTCAGTCCCCGTGATCATGCTGTGTTCTTTAAGAAAATTGTATCAAAATCCCCACTTTGGAGTCCTCCCAAAACAGGCTCCACAACCCTGTGAGCTACCTTGTGAGCTAGTCTCTCTGCTTTCAACTAATTAGCCCAGCAGCTCCCCTCACAAGCCACTATTTTGCTTGGGTCTTTTTATGGAGGCCTCCTAACAAAGCTAAGACAAGTGTAGTACTGAGACACTTTCTCTACAGCCTTCCTCTGATCGCCACGACATGCTTAAACATGTTTTATTTTTAATAAACCTGGACATGTATGAACTGGAACTCTATAGTAGCAATACTTTTTGACTTACCCTTGTACTAGTTGTTAACGATTTCCTTGTATTAAATTTTAATATGGCATAGGAAACTGAGTCTTCTTTACATGTTGTCAGCATATAGCTGACTCATAGGATTGGATTCTGTCATAATTATTTCTATGGTCACCAAGCATTGGTATGTCTTTATTGAGTTTTACAAATACCTTGCCAGAACACGTCTCAATAAGAAAAAAGTGAACGTATTTCTTTTTTTAATTTATTTTTTTCAAAAGTCAAATAAAGGACTGTCTTGCACACTAGTACAGTTGTAGTGACTAGCTTTTAT